ACACACACATATATATATATATATATGCATACATACATATAAATATATTTCACATTATGCATATAATTCGCATATCCACATGATCAAATGTACAAATTTATCATGTTGTCATGTAAACACATAACATATAATCACATATTATTTACCTCAGGTGATAACCAAGATCCAGTTATCACATTAGACCTCTTCCAAGACCAGGAATTCCTTCGGGAAATAATCCTATAACAAAACCTGCTTTTAATCAGACTTTAGTAGCCAGACAAGACCTATTTACCAAGAACGTCTTAGATTTGGAAATAACGAACTAATTGTGTTTCCAAGTTCCAGCAATGCATGTTTCAGGATGCAGAACCATATCTCTCTCAGCAAAGAAGAACGTTGTCTTGTAGACAATATTTGGGTAGCCTTCGGAAAAAACCCAAAAGACGTTAAATATTTTATTGCATGTTTAAATGCTTAATCAGAATGCTAAGCATTTTAAATTTTATGTTATGTTAAAGGGTAAAAAGACAGGTTTCATCCATACTTGGATCGAAGTTCTTGATGCAACTCAAGGATATCCTGGTCCTTTATGCAAAGGTTTTAATAATTATGAAGAAGCCCTTTCTTCAGCCATACAACGTTTAGGAAAGAACTTTTTCGTTTCTCCTTCCCTCATAAACTATACAGAACCCCCTTTAGACTTTTCTGCTTCCACAGACCCCAGCCATACTCATACTATTTTTTGTGATCATTGTGAGACTATGTCCAGAAACATTAAAATTATCAATGATGACAATACTCAGCTCAGAAATGAGAAACTTGTTCTTCAGAAACAAGTCTCAATGCTTGAGAGACAAGTTCTTTCATATTCTCTCAATCAGAACAAAGGCTCATCTTTTGGCCCAATACAGAAGATTAAGATGGGTGGACATTCTCCAATGAATGTCAATAAAGGTATCATTGAACCTACAAACTCAATTGCTAGTCCAGCTGCACCGGTGGCTGATAAAGACATATCAAATTCGGAGACGGCTATGGGATTGCCAAAATCTCAAGAGACACAAAGGACTCTTGATTCCTCTACTCAAAGCCAGACTCAAAACCAGACTCAAAGCCAGACTCAAAACCAGAAAAATAAAGACATATGGGATTCTCTTGGAGAACCTGAAAAATAATTTGATTTCCTTGTTAAATACAACCCAACTCCTTCAACCCTTGACCCTTCACCTTCCTATACAAACCAGATATTTCTTTCCATACACAATCCCAAGAAGCTCATCATTTAGACTCCATCCAGCTTGAAAATACCCATGACCAAAACCAGTCTTCACCAAAAAAATAAAAAACCAAAAAAGAAGAAAATCAAAAAATCAAAAGTGAAGATTAGGAACGAGATCAATAATATTATTGAAGAAGTTATCAGGAATTTCATTCCTCAGCATACTGAAGAAATTTTTTTAGAAGACACAGTTTTCGAAGACAGTTCAAGTTCTCCAGATCAAGATCAGAGAGGCTACTGTTCAGACGGTGGATACTCTTTTGATTTGATTGTCAGACTTAATCTCAATACCTAGAAGATTAGAGACAAGACGAATGGTGGCAATAGTATCAATCAAGAAAAAGATTTGTTATAATGTAGAAAACGACAAGACTCTCATCTATTGCAGACTAGATAATAACACGTTGAAGACTTTTATACAGATTGCAGTTTTTTCTTAACACATTGACACGTATTTCATACGTGTTAAAACCCTTCATACTATCGTGTCGTCTTCTCACTTTGAGAATTTCTGTTATAACCAGGTTTGAGACAACCTGAGTTGAGGTAATTTATACATGTTTATTATGTGAAGTACGTGAAATATGCATATCTAAGTAGAAATACATGAATCATATATGTGAACATGATATTGTGCATGTATATACGTGAAAAGATGGCATGACATATATGATTTATACATGTATGCATGTTGTATGAAGCATACATGAGGTGGTGTTTATTGTATTCAGGTGAAATTATTATATCTTCATGGTTAAGAAATCATGAATTTTATAATGATTTATCCACCGCCCAAGATTATTTCTATTGGAAGAAGCTTTCACCRCCTATGAGTTTTATAGTTAAAATAATCCTCACCGCCTTGGTGGGAGTATTTAAAGAAATAGAAATATAAGATTTTATCTTATTATTACATTTGAAGAAAGTTTTGTGACGGTGAAAGGAATCTGTTGTTCAAAGTTGTTTGAAAAGATTGTGAGTTGCTGTGTGCTTTTTATCTTCAAAACCTGTGATTTGTTAAGGTGTGTTTTAAACTACCGTTGAGTATAAACTGTGAGTTTTTAAACTACCATTGGTTATAAACTGTGAGTTGTATAACTATTGTTGACTATATGCTATGAGTTTTGATGTTGGTTTTGAAGAAAGGATGTTAAAACTATTTTGATAGTTTTAAGGTGTTATTGTTATTATGGGAAAGATAAAGAAGAGTTTGCTTCTTTAAAACAGTTTTGGAAATGATATCCTGTTTTGAGGATTTAAAGGAAACTTGATGTTTTGGAAAATCTTTGAAAGACAAGATTGTTCCTGAGTTTGAAAGATTTTTATGGATAAAACTATGAATGAGGATTCGATAAGATGGTTGTGA